GCTAAGGAAGGGATGGGGGTCCAGATTCAGTCTAGGGCAGGGGAGATGTGTGGCTGTGCCTTGGGGGATAGTCCACAGGTGGACCAGCTGGAAGGGGGCACCTGGTGGGGGCACCCGTGTTCATAAAGGCCCAAAGGCTCAGAGGCCTGAGGCACAGTAGTGCCTCTCGGGAACTACAGTGAACTGTGGGACCAGGTAGCAAGGGGGGCCCAGATGCCGGGCACAGGAGCTGGGAGCCCTGGAGGGTGTGAGTGGGCAGGAGGGCACCAGGTCTCAGCACCTCAGGCTCCTCCAGGGAGCTGGCGGGTGGAGGCGAGCCTGGCAGCCCGGGCACTTAGGAGGTTGATTGAGAGCTGGTCTCTGGCCTCAGATCTTACCTGGCCCCCCGCGCTGCCTGCCCCTCACCGAGCTCACTTCGTCTGTCAAATAGGAGGACAGGTGGGGAGCACTGAAGAGGACTCCGCACACAGTGGGGGCACCTGGCTGGCGTTAACCGATTCCGCCCCGTGGGACTGGGCCTGGCTGCCCATCCACACCTCCTGTCCACTCCCAGCTGCGGGGACCCTTGGGGACAGCACCCAGTACAAATCTTTAGTTACTTAGAGGCGGATCCCTTGCTGGTGTTAGCGCATTCTCGGAAAGTTGGTGCGGCTGGCCTCACTTGGCCCCTCCCGGAGCCCTATCCATGGGTGGGTGGGGGGCACCAAGGGCGGGGGAGGGCTTGGCTGGAGCTCTTTGGAGCCCGCTGGTGACCACAGAGCTGGAGCTTGGACCTTCCTTGACATTCTGGGGACACAGGAGTCCAGCAAGCCTAGAAGCCTGGATCCTGCCCTTGAGGGTCTGCCTTGGAAAAGGATCTGTGGGCCCGGGTGGGGGGCATGGGGGATGGAAGGTTGTGCAGGATGGGGGGCTTTTCCCTAAGACCCACAGCCAGCGTCACCAGCCTTCCCTTCCCCCTCCTGGGCCATGGCAGTCCCTGGGGGTCAGGGTGCTCCCATGAGCCCCTGGCCCCCCTAGGGTAGGACAGATCTTGAGGTGGGGACGGGGAGAGGCAGCGGGGTGTCCTCAGGCCTCCGGAGACAGTGTCTCGTGCGGGTGACACAGAGCCTATTTGCTGCCTGGTCTTGGGTCATAATTGCCCCTTTATGCTTCCTGCGCCGCGTGGGTACACAGGGCTGGCTCCGGCATCTCGTGACCCACGCCCTGGCGACTGGCGAGCTCGCATCTCTTCCTACTCCAGTTATCAAGGCCTCCGAGCCCCCAGAGGCCGCCCAGCAGGCTGTATTGAGCCCAGAGAGGATCGCCCACTCTCCTGCGATCACAGAGGCCAGGAAAGGACATGGTCTTGTGATGGGGAGCGGGCTCTGGACCCAAGGTCCCACCCAGCTGGGGGCCTTGGGCGAGTCCCTACTCCTCTGTGAGCTTCAGTTTTGTCATCTATGAAAGGGAGCATCTGCCTCCGGCTGGCTGCTGGGAACAAATGGGGAGGGGGGGCAGTTCCACACCTGCTCTGTCACTGATGTCCAGGCGGGTGGGGGACCCTCCTTGGCCCTGGGGTCCAGGTCCAGAGGTCATTCACCCCCCTCCCCCATCTTCCCGAAGCCCAGCCTCGTTTGCCATCCAGGTTACTCTCTGCAACTCCCGCGGGTGGCTGCTCCGTTGTTAGTGGCCACACCACCTTCTAGGAACTCAGGGATTGCTGCATCACGTGGCCCCAATATGCCTGCCTCAGTTTACCTTTTTTGGCAGTGGCAGGGGTGGTGGTTCAGGCTGCTTTGGTGCAAGAGGTGCAGGGAGGCGGCTTGGCCAGGGCCTACCCAGCTAGGCCCCTCCCAGTGCAGAGATGCCTAGGGCTCCTTGATGCCCTGTCGGTCCAGTCCATACCTAACGTCTCTGCCCTGATCTCTCTCCCAGGATCTCTGGGTACTGCGTTCTGCCCTTCCTCCTGCTGCTCCTTGTGCGGAGACACCCTCCCTGATCCCATTCACCCTTCCATTCGCAGCCGTGTAATATTAAATCTGTGCAGAGGGCGTAGCATATGGAAAGGCCCTGGGGCAGGACCCTGCCTGGCATATTGGAAGAACAGAAGCCTGTGTGGCTGGAGCAGGGGTGGGGGGTCAGGGGAGGGCTTGGGCTTTTATCCCAGGGTAGGGGGAGCTCTGGAGTGCTCTGGGCAGAGGAATGTGGCATCTGATTCAGGCTTCAGGGGAAGACAGACTGTGGGGGCGAGAGGAGGACGTGGCTGCATTGGTCCGGGTGGGTGATAGTGGGGCAGGGGCTCCGGGGCCTCCTCAGGGGCTCTGCAGGGGCCTGCCTCGGTCTCTTGGGCAGACCCAGGACCTGTTTCTCTTCTGTGCCTGGGGTGTGCGAGCCTCTCTTCCTCGAGTCTGGTTCCACCCCCACCCCCCAATCCCCATTGTCCCATCCAGGCCCCTGTCCAGGCCCCCAGCACCCCCAGCGCTGCCCATTCCCTCCTGCTGCAGGCCCGCGTGGCACATTTGAGGGAGCCTTCGCCCAGATCAGCCCCATCCTGCCCAGATGTTGAGGAGGCGGGGGTTCTGGGAGCCAGGGGATAATTAGGGGCCGCTACGATCTGAAGGCGGCTGCCCCTGGCTCTCCTGGGGTGTGAGGAGTGGGGGGGTGGCTTGGCCACGGCCCTCCTGGGGGGGGCCCTCTGTGCAGGTGGCCGCTGCCCATGCCTGCGCTCTGGGGAGGATGCTGAGGTGGGGAAGGAGGTCACCCTGTGGTGGCAGTAGTCCCTGGTAGGCCTGGCAGCCCAGAGTTTGAGCCTAGGGTGGCTGCAGCCTTTCTGCGTGGCCTCAGTTTCTCCAGAGGCTCTCTGAGGGCCTGCCCTGCTGACCCAAGTGGTCTGGGCCACAGCCCCCTACTGGGATGTACAGCAAGGGTGCGTCTGTGGGCCGGGCCGGCTGCCTGTGTGTGTTGTGGCAGGGTCACCCTGGGCCTCCACCTTCCTCCTCTTTGGCCCCCTCCGCTCCTAAAAGGGCTGGTGGTAGGTGGGGGTACCAGCCGGGGGTAAGGGGCTGTGTCCGGGCTTCTCTTTCCCCACCTGCCCCCCAGACCCCCCTGGCCGTATCTGAGTACATACCTGGAGTGGGTCAGCGTGCGGGTCCACCTGGGTGCTTAGAGGCGGGTTCTGGCTTGTGCCTCCAGATTCACTGTCCGGGTGGTACAGGTGCGGTGCGCTGACCACTCGGTGGGTCCCTGGGGCCTGACCGCACGCACACAGCTGAGCCTGAGCTTCGTGGGTTCTGGGTGCCTATGTGCCCTGTGGACCTCTGACCTGACGGCGCCCCGTTTGTATTTGCCCGCAGCCCACCAGTGTGTGTGTGTGTGTGTGTGTGTATTGTGTGCCCGACTGCGACCCTGTGTGTGCATCCGGTCGTGCTATTGGTCTGTGGTCTCTGCCTGGACCCGTGTGTCTCTGATCCCACTGTGCTTGTGGTCTGACTGGTGTGTAGATTGTCCACCCCACGGTGACCTGTGTGTGTGTGTGTGTGTGTGTGTGTGTGTGTGTGGTCTGACCCCGTGTTTCCGAACTCTGATTTTGTGCCTGTTTGTGGTCTGTGTGCAAGTTTCCTCTGCCTGACTGTGCGTGTGGACCTCTCTGTGTCGCCCGACTGTGTGAAGACGTCTGGCCTCCCGGTGTGTCTGTGGTCTGTCTGCCTCCGTCCGTGGTTCCCGTGCCTGTCCGCTGGCTGTGTGCAGGCCTCCTTCTCCTGCCTGGTCTGCAGTCTGACTATGTGCCCACCCCCGACCCTCTCACCCTCCCATCCTGACTTCCCCACCCCCACCGCCGAGCCCCAAGCAGGCCGCCACCCGCCCAGCCTTCTCCTGAGGCCTCTCTGGGGCCAGGCGAGGTGACCGCAGCTGGGTATTTTGGGAGCCAGAATCACAGGGGCTTACCCCATCATTATGTGGCACCCATCCCTATGGTCATGGCCTGGACCCGCCCGGGGCATGGCCTGCGGTGGGTGTGGGGCTGACCCGGCCACGGAGGCCTGCCTCGTCCTTAGGCCTCTTGCTGCCTCCCCCCAGCCCTCTGCCCTGGCTCTGGCCAGCGTGGAGATTGGGGAGGGGCTTTGGCCCTGGGACGAGGGACTCTTCGACCCTAGAAGAGTTGAGATTCTTGTGGGAGAAGCAGACCCAGTGACGAGCACTTGCAAACCAGGGTAAAGGCGTGGAGGATGGCCTTACTCATTTCTGCAGCTGTGGGATGTGGAATGGGTGGTGGGGGTGGGCTGGGGAGCTTCTGAGGGAAGTGACAGCTGAGCTGGGACCTGTCATGTAGTGGTGGTGGTGGTGGGGACAGCAGGGGCAGGGGATTGAGCTCAGGCAGCTTGGCTGCACCTCCGTGAGAGGAGGAAGTGAGATCAGCAGGAGTGGCTTCCTCTGGGGGCAGTGGGAACCCCGGAGGCACTATAACAGGGCAGGGGGCAAGGGGCAGGGGGCAGGGGCAGGGACGGGCAGGTGTGCCGGGTGGGCTGCAGAGGCAGCTGGCCCGTTCCCTGGAGCCTCGTCCCTCCGAGGCCCAGCCTGGGAGGAGAGAAGCCAGGATTGCGAGCACCCCGGGCGCTGGTGCTCGGTCCTGGCTTGGGGTTGGCCGGGGACCGGGAGCTGGCTCTGTCCGCTCAGGGTGCTGTGCAGAGTCCCACAGGCCGGGTGGCTTGTGGACAGCAGACACGTATTTCTCCCGGTTCTGGAGGCCGGGAGTCCCAAGATCAAGGTGCCGGCAGATCTGGGGTCTGGTGGGGGCCGCTTCCTGCTTCCCCACCGGCCCTCCTAACGCTGTCCCAGGGAGCGTGGGCCTCAGTGTGGGGATGTGAAGCTCCAGGCCTTCAGCAGGGGCTCTGCGCCCACCTTCTGGCTCCCCCACCCCTGTGACTCTCCCCTGCCCCCCTGTGATCCTCCCGCTGCCTCCCCCACGGAGGCCCCCTGGATTGCCCCTCTTCCTTCTCACGCTGCCTCCCTTGTCTCCGCAGACGCTGCCCCGTCTGACGCTCGGCTCGGCTCCAGGCCTCTGTGTGAGGGACCGGGGGGGACCGTCCCCCTCCAGGGTGGAGGCCGGAGGCTGCAGGTAGCCGCCAAGCATGGCGCCTGCCTGGGGCCCCAGCGTGGCATCTGTGGTTGGTCCCATGGGCCTCCTCGTGGTCCTGCTGGTCGGAGGCTGCGCAGCAGAAGGTGAGTCCGGTGTGGGGCGTGTGGGTGTCTGAGTCCGTGTTGCGTGTTTGTGAGCGCACACGTGTCCCCACCTCCTCCCCGGGGCCCCTGGTTTTGCAAGCAGAGCCTCTGTGCTCCACGAAGGCGGCTGAGCGTAAGTGCCTACTGTGCGCCAGTCCTGGGAGGCTCAGAGGCCAGTAATGACGACGGTCATAAAAGCAGTAGCAGTAATGACGACGAGGTCCGTTTCCCCAGCCTCAGCTCCGTACCCAGCCCAGTGCGAACTACAGACTCCGCCTGCTTCATTCATCTCCCTCCAGCCGCCAACCCTGAGCCTGCTGGTTCCATTCATTACCTTGCACGTTTTCCAGTAAGAGAAACTGAGGCTCACGGGGTGGGGACTCACTCGAAGTCACTCCTTGAGGCTGCGGAGATCACCTTCCCTTGCCACACATAGAGACACCAGGGCCCCAGGTGGCGGATACACAGGTGACCAAACCTTCCCAGGTGGAGCCAGGCAGGAGAGGCTGCTCGGGAAGGAAGGCATTGGAGCTGGGGCTTTGCGGGTGTGTAGGAGTTCTCTAACAGAAATTGCATCACTGGTGAAGGTGCTAGTGTGCGGAAAGGCCCGGAGGTGAAGAAAGGGGTTGGTGTAGTTTGGGGCAGGCCAGGTTTTGTTTGTAGCAGGCACATGGAAAGGATGACGGTGAGATCTCAGCCCAACACCAAGCTCAACCCACCACGAGGGGCCTAGGGGATGTGTCACTCAGGCCCCTGGGGACACACAGGGTCGGGCCAGCAGGAAGGAAACTGGGATCTGTAGTTAGTCTGGGTTTGAAATCCCAAATTTGCCATCAACCTGCTGTGTGACCTCGGGATAGTGACTCAGCCTCTCTCAGCTGCCGTTTCCACCTTGACTGAACGGGACCCATAACGTGTCCACGCCGTGGCAATCCCACGGCGGGGACACGTGAGAAGCCCCCTGCGTGCTGCTTGGCTCGTAGCAGGCCCACAATCCCACGCTCTCCCCGTGAGCACAGTAGTTACTGCTGGTGCGTGAGAACACCGGGCACAGGCACACGCACATTTGCCTCGGCCATTCTTGCAGCTGCTTGTTTTTTGTTTTTTTTTTTAAGATTTTATTTATTCATGAGAGACACAGAGAGAGAGGGAGAGAGAGGCAGAGACACAGGCAGAGGGAGAAGCAGGCTCTATGCAGGGAGCCCGACGTGGGACTCGACCCTGGGTCTCCAGGATCAGGCCCTGGGGTGAAGGCAGCGCTAAACCGCTGAGCCACCCGGGCTGCCCTGTGCTGCTTCATAGTAGATGCCTACCACTCAGATCAGCCACCACAGGCTGGAGGGATGAATGCTCTTCTCATCGTTCCCATTGTACAGATGGGGAAACTGCGCCTCGCCGAGGCTTCATGACAGTCGGGAGGTAGCCACACAGAGGTTTGAACCCGGGCTGCGTGGTGTGAGCGCCCTGACCATCACACCACACTGCCTGTGGGCCTTAGCCAGCCGTGGCTGCGCCCTGGTCTGTGTGGTCACCTGCCAGGGCCTGCGCCTTCCTGGGCTCTGTGCCCCGCAGTGAGAACAGCAAGCCAGAGGCGATAGGCAGTTGAGCGTTTCATCCATCCATCCCAGGGTCAGCCCGTTCCCTGGGGTGGGGCATCCAGGGCACTGTGGGGGGTCAGCAGCATCCCTGGCCCCACCCACTCCATGCCAGGAGCACCCCCAGTTGTGATGACCACAAGGTCTCACCCCCAGCCCCAGGTGAACATTGCTGGTTTAACTTACGCTGGTGGGATAAATAACGCGTTTGCTACTTTGACGTCTTTCTCTCGCGATAATTAACCAGCCTCAGGGGAAACTGAGTCTGCCCGAGCTGGAGACCCATCGTGGTTGAGGGGAGCGGCTACAGAATTTGGAGACCGCCTCAGCCTGGGTTCAGATCCTGGCTCTGTCATGTGGCCACAGTGGACCCGTGCTCTCATTCGTTCAGTGTGCCTTTAATAAGCACCTACTGTATGCCGAGCACTGGCTTAGCCACAGGGGACACTACGAACCCCCCACCCCTTTACGGAGCTCGTAGTCTAGTGAGGGAGACGCACTACGTGCCTCTGATGGTGGGTGTACTGGGGATGTGGGTGTGAGGGGAGGGCTGGGCTCTGCATTTCCAAGGGGTGAGAGAAGATCTGGGAAAGGTCACAGTGAGGTGGCGTCTGAGCAGAGACCTAAGGAGCTGAGAAGTGCACCCTGTGGGTGTCTGGGGGAAAGGTCCCGAGCAGAGGGAACGGTATGTGCAAAGGCCCTGGGGCAGGACCCAGGCATGTAGGCTGGAGCAGCGTGGGCGACAGGGAGATGGGGCAGAGAGGAGGGCAGGACCGGGGACGGACGGGGCGGGTCCTGTAGGGCCTTGTGGGATTCAGAGAAGACTCAGCTCCTACCCAGGGAGGTGGGAGCGGGCCCTGGAGGGCAGGTAAAGACTCGAGTGCTCACAGGCACCCCCTGGTGGTCCTGTGGGGAGCACAGCAGGGCCCCGGGGAGCAACGAGGGCATGCGCCCCAGGATATTAGGCCCTGGCGTGCAGCTGGAGCAGCCTCAGCGGGTCCCCCCAACAAGTCCTGGGAGTGGCATCACCACTCTGATACCCGGGGTGCTCCCAGGGATGAAGACACAGCCCTGTTTATGGAATTCCTGGGGGTTGGTCGCTGGATCCGGTCCGGCTGGAGTCCCAGCTCTTGTCCATCGCAGGCTGGGTGACCTTGCGCCCGTCTCTCCCCCTTCCTGACCCCTGACCTGGCTTCTGTGTGGCCCAATGGACCCGGGGGACACACCGGGGGGCTGCTCCCCATAAGTAACTGCCGTGCCCCAGGGTGTCTTTCTTGTGTCAGGGGCCCCTTAGCCAAGAAGAGGAGGGAGAGGATTTGTCCAGAGGAGAGAGCTCAAGCGTCTGCAGGGGATTTTCTGATGGGGGTGCAGTGAGCAGACAAAACTCTTGCAGGTCGCCTGTGACCCCAGGGCCACCTGGAGATGGGCTGAGGAGACCTCAGGGCCGCCGGGGATCTCAGGAATAAGTGGGTCCAGTGTTAGGTGGGCAGCAGGGGTCACCAGCTCCCCGGCGCCAGGGCAGGTGGTGGGGGGCTGCCCTGTGCCCACCCTGCTGAGTGGCACGTGACCAGCTCTTTGGGCCCAGCTTGATCACAGCGTGATGGGGGGATGCCCAGGCAGCTGGAGGAGCTCCTGCCCTGGCCTGTGGTAATCTGAGAAGGCTCCCCAGGGGAGGTGCTGGCCTGATGAAGGGAGGAGGGAGGGACTCCAGCGGGAAGGACCAGAAGGACCAGCCAGGCTCCCTCTGTGTCTCCTCCCCTCCCCACCCAGGGTGCCGGGGGTGTGTCCCAGCTCTGAGGCATAAACAGGCAGCTGGATGCGTCCAGTCCCGTCCCATCCAGTAGCACACATCTGCCCTTCCTCCCAGGGGCTCCCAAGGGAGGAGTTTTCCCCAAATTAAGATTCCTGACCCGGCCACAGTGACTTTCCTCCATGACATTGGCTGGGGACACTCAAGGCCCCAGTCACCAATCCTGAGGCTTGGAGGAGGGGCCACCCAGGCCGCCAGAGCCAGGGAGGAGGAGGGCCCAGCCCCAGGCCTGGGGGTGACGGGAGCATAGGACACATGCCTGTGGATGGGGAGACTGTCACCTCTGGGCGCTGCGGGTGCGGCTGCAGCTTCTGCGCCCTGAATCTGCACGATGTGATTAGCCACCGCGGCTTCGCAGGGCTGCGGGAGCTGAATGAGGCCCTGCATGCCCACGTGGCGATTTTCAGAAGAGACGGACACACGGTCACATCAGTGGGTGTGGAGCCTTGGGTAGAGGGAGGCGAGGCCAGTCAGGCCACTGGGGTGGGCACCCCATCTTGGTCAAAGAATTATTATTACTATTTTTTAAAGGTTTTATTTACTTATTCATAAGAGACACAGAGAGAGGCAGAGACACAGGCAGAGGGAGAAGCAGGCTCCCTGCGGGGAGCCCAGTGCAGGACTTGATCCCAGGACCCCGGGATCACGCCCTGAGCCAAAGGCAGACACTCAACCACTGAGCCACCCGGGCGCCCCTCAAAGAATTATGTTAAAAAATAATTTCTGTTAACCTTTAAGCAGTTATAAATCTCAAAAAGGCACCAAGTAGGAAGAGTCTCCCCCTCCGCTGTGTCCTGCACCCCGGTTCCCTTTGCCTCCCCTCCTGATTTTTCTTTTCACACAAACTGTAACCTTCCCTACACCTTCTACCCCTCGCAGTTTTGCATCTTACGGTATCTCTACCTTGCTGTTCCTGCCCTGCTGGCTAGTAGTGTCCTTGTCCCCTTGTGCTGCCTGCTGTCCCATTTCGGGGTGGTCCCCTGTCCACAGTCCCCTTTTGTTGGATAGATAGGTAAGTGGTTTCCTACAGGACCCCTGCCTGCCCTCCTGCTGCTGCCCTTGAATCTATCAGTGAAAATCTCAGGACTCACCGAGCTCATTTAATGGGCTCCGTCGTAGCGTCCCCGCCCCCCAAGTGGAGGTCCAGTGTCGCTCAGAGATTTCGGTGTGAAAAGTCAGCAGCGAGAAAGCAACAGGAATATACTTTCACAGGATGCCCAGGTCCGTCCCCGGTGCAGGGTGGAGGCTGTAGGGGGTTAAGGACCCCGTAGGCCCCACTCGAGGCTCTCTCACTGGAGGGGCCGAGAACACGATCACGGGTCCAGCCTGGTTCGAACCCTGGCTCAGCCACGGGCTGGCTGCGTGTTGAAGCAGAGACTGTGCCTCTCCGTGCCTTGGCTTTGCTGTGTGTCGGACGGGGACCATGGTGGCCCTGTGCTCCGTGCCATCGGAGGGTTAGATGTCACTGAACTACACACCCCTGCATACAGTAGGTGCTCAATAAGCGCTTGCTCTGGTGTTGGCAGCATCTTACCCTTGGGAAACCCGGTCAGCCTCTCTGAGCTCCTGCCCCCAACCCCTCGTGTCTGGATGCCTCCCAGGATGGAGCCAAGGACCCCCCCTGCTGTCCTCCCGCCCCCCGCAGGGTTTGGCTGGTCACCACTAGGAGCCTCCAGGTGCTAAATCTGAGGACCCAGAGTCTTGGGGGAGGGCTCCCCTCCCATATCCTCTGGGGCCCCTGTGAGGTTGGAAGCACATGTGAGCGTGCATAGCTGTGGTCCAGGGGTGGGGGTATGCATGGGGACGGGCCGGGGCAGGGGAGGTTTTTGCACGGCCCCGTGGGGTCCTGGCCTCCTGCTTGGGCCCGCCGAACCCCTCCTTTTCTTGCTCTACCCTCCCCAGAGCCCCCCAGGTTCATCAAAGAACCCAAGGACCAGATTGGTGTGTCGGGGGGTGTGGCCTCCTTCGTGTGTCAGGCCACAGGCGACCCCAAGCCACGGGTGACCTGGAACAAGAAGGGCAAGAAGGTCAATTCACAGCGCTTTGAGGTGAGTCGGGGGCTGAGGGGGGTGGGGGGACAGTCTGGGGCCAGCACCCCGTCTCTGGACGGGGCCACGGGGGCTCAGCCGCAGATGTTGCAGAGACGGCTCCCGGTGTAACACGGGTGGCCAGGCCGGGCGTGCCCCACTGGTGCCCACTGTGGCTGGGGCAGCTCTCACACCTTCCTGCCGCGTGTCCCACCTGCCGTGCCGCTGCGTGCTGTGTCCCCTCAAGCACGGCTCCAGCCTCTCGGTCTCCTCTCACAACTCCATGACACGCACCACCAGACACACGTCTACGGCCAACGTGCCTCCGCACGCCTGTCACGCGGACTTGCCTGTGCTTCTCACCTCCCCCCCGCCCCGACCCTCATACTTGCACAGACGGGACCCGGTTTCTGTGGGCCGTGCATTTGCACAGGACGGCCCTCCACGTGCACAGCACTGCCCCCTGCTCCTCTCCCAGCAGCCCCACCCCCCGGACCGCAGCCTCACCCTCCTCTCTCCCTGTTGCCCACGGCAGACAATCGAGTTTGACCAGAGTGCGGGGGCCGTGCTGAGGATCCAGCCGCTGCGGACACCCCGAGATGAGAATGTGTACGAGTGTGTGGCCCAGAACTCCGCCGGGGAGGTCACGGTCCATGCCAAGCTCACTGTCCTCCGAGGTACTGGGCTCCCCAGGGTGGGGGGTTGGGCGGGGGGATGCATGGGAGGAACCAGGCCTTGGGTCTTTGGGGACAGACGCTAAAGGAATTGTTGAAAATCTTGCTTTGGATTTTCTCTCTGGGGGACCTTGGTCTCCCTTCCCCAGCCCGTTACACCGGCATGGCCCAGAGCCTGCCAGTAGGGATATAAATCCCTTGGACTTTGATAGGAAAGAGCAGCATTAAGGGACCAGTGTCATCCCCCTTTGTCACCTTCGTCACTCTCCTCTGATTATCAGAGCCTGATCCGCCTCAAACTGGTTCACGTAAGAGAGAACACATTCACTGACCTGTGTGTTGAGAATGTCGGTGGAGTAGCCAGCTTCAGGTTCAGCTACATCCAGGAGCTCATACTGTGTCTTTAGAGCTCACCCTCCCTCTGACTCTGGGTGGGTTTCCCTCCATAGTGACTGGGTCCTCTGTGGGTTTACCCCCAGTAACTCCAGACTCCCAGGCCCTCACCCCAGAGAGGACCAGGTGATCCAGAACTAGTGCTCATGGCGCAGATTGGGTGAGAGGGCCATCCATCCCGGCTCCAAATACTCCAATCGGCAGAGGCCTCCCTGGAGTTGGGGGGGTGTCAGCCCACACAGACCGGCTCAGTAAGGGGCAGTTCCTCCCAGAGGAAGAAAGGAGGAATAGATGTTGGACGGGTGCAAACAGCCACCCACCGCCTCCCATACATTGACTCCGATCCTTCGGGAACGCTCCCTTGCCCGGCTGTTTGCTAGCCTCGCTCCGGCGGGCCAGGGGGCAGCAGGAAATCGCTCTCTCGTTGTGCGGCAGCACCCTTCAGACAGCCTCGCCACAGACCCCCCACCCTCGGCTGCTCCCTCCTGCCTGCCCAGTGGCAAGGGCCCCTGTAGCCGCATGACCCGGGCAGGTTAATAAACCTCCGTGAGCTGCACTTCTGCACCTCCCAAGGTGGGAAGGGGAATAAGGATGCTCCCGTGGGGATGCTCCCCACACTGTACACGAGGGGTGGTCATGTGAACCAGGGTGAGCCCGGTGGGTGGAGCCTGCGCGGGAGAGACTCTGGCCACCCAGTGTCACTCCAGGGTGAGCGGGGACGACTGCCGCTGCCCTCCTGTAGCTCTCACGTGTGTGGGCTCTGCCCGGGTCAGCACCCCAACCCTCTCGCATCTTCCAGAGTGAGCCACCGACGGCGCCTGGGTGGGAGGTGGCTCTCAGGGGTGGCACCCCCCCCCAGCCTCTCCCAGGGCCGCAGAGCCGGGGTGGGTGGCGCACAGGCCCCCGGGGTAGGGCGGGCACTTTGTCTGGCACCCTGGGCGCAGCCTGCACGGGGTGTGTCCCTCAGAATTCTCGCCCGGACCATCTGTTTAGCAAGAGGCCCGTGGGTCCTGGAGCCCGTCCTGCGGGGAGGGGGGGTGCAGGGAGCCCGCGCGGCCCGCCTCTTCCCAGCAGATACTCCCGCCCTGACCTTTCTCGGGCACAGACGGAACAGCCTGCCTCCCGCTGCCCGTGCCAGCCTCCGTTGTGAGCGCTCCGAGAGTTAAAAGGCCACGCTGTGAATCTATTAGCCGCCCGGCCGCCCCGAGTCTGGGAAAGAGCCGAGCGCGCTCCCTGCCCCCCAGCAGGGCCTCCTTGGCTCCGCTCATCCTGGGGCCCCTCATCCTGGGGCCGGATGCCCAGCCCGGGAGGCCTTTGACCCCGGAGCGCCTGTGCCCCCCTCCCCGAATGCAGCCGGCGGCGGGGGGGGGGGGGGGGGGGGCTAGGCCCAGGCCGCCGGGCCCCCTCTGCCTGCCTCCCTCCCCGCCCTCTGATCGGGACTCCGCTCACGCCTTCCATGCTGTTGTTTTAATTAAACTCCGAGGAATCGGGCACAATGCGGTACGCGGCGAACATTTTTGTTTAATTAGGAGCTCTCGGTAGCGCCGGGCGGCGGCCTCCCCCAGTGCCCGCCCCGCCGGCGGCCACCCACACGCTCTCACGGGGACCCCCCCGGGGGCTGCACGCGCAGGGGAAGCACTCACGTGTGAGCACGTGTGGGGCGTGGATGCGTCCTCGGGGGAGCGGGCGCGCACATGCCCGCCTTGAGCGCCAGGACGCGGGGCCTCGTGGTTTTGGCCTTCACTTCCAGTGACGTCATGGGTAGCCAATCAGAACCACCTTTGGGGTTCGGGCCTCGGGCCCAAGGAGAACAGACACGGGGCCTGGGCCACACTGGACATGGTCCAGCCACCCGCTCAGACTCGAGTAGGTCCAGTCCGGGGGTTGGAGGTTCCAGCCGGCCCCTCCCCAGCCTCCCCAGGCCTGAGCGCAAATCCCAGCCTTGCCGTGTCCTGGCTGTATGAGCTGCAGCGCCTGTGTTTCTGCCCCAGCCTCAGTATCCCCCTCTGTGAACGAGGTCCCATCCTTGAGGAGGGCCCAGGAGAGTGCCTGGTACAGAGTGTGCCGGGGCCATTTGCCCTCCAGGCACCCCTGGACCAGGACCATAGCTCTCCTTCCGCCAGAGGAATGGAATGGTGCTGCCCAGCCTGCCTCTCCCCTGCCCCATCTTGGCCTCCCGACCTCCCTCTGCGCTGTGCCCCGGGCTCAGATTCCCTGCATGGTGGTTTCTCACCCATCTCTCCCCCTGTCCCCGTGCCCCAACACGCCCACCCATGCCCACTGCCCCTTCTGGGCATCTGTGAGCAAACACCCGTGCACCATTTCCCTTTGCACAGATAGCAGCACCGTCTGTTCCAGGAGGCAGCAGGCCTTTTCTGTAAAACACCAGATCGCAAATGTATATATATATTTTAAAGATTTTGTATATTTATTCATGAGAGACACAGAGAGAGAGGCAGAGACACAGACAGAGGGAGAAGCAGGCTCCCTGTGGGGAGCCCAGTGCGGGACTCGATCCCAGAACCCCGGGGTCACGCCCTGAGCTGAAGGCAGATGCTCAACTGCTGAGCCACCCAGGTGCCCCCAGAGAGCAGATATTTTTGACTCTGCGTGCCAGTCTTCATTCATCGCAGCTTCTCAGCTCGGCTGTCCTAGCCAGGAAGCTGCTGTAGGTGACGTGGACGCAGATGGGCATGACCACGTGCTAATAAAACTTTATTAATAAAAACAAGCCAAGGGCCGGGTTTGGCCTCTGGCAATAGTTTTCCCTCCTTTGTCTATATTATCTTTGACTTTGAACCCCGTCCACTTAGCATGCCTGGGACCTCGTAAGGCAACAACTGCCTGTTTCAGTATCGCGTCCCATGGGTGGCCTGGGGTGTGTATGTGACAGGTCCCCATTGGCAGCTGTTTAGGCTGCCGGCAGCCTCCTGCTGTCCGGGGACACTCTGCATTCCTCTTGTAGCGCACAGCACGTGGAAACCATAGATGCGGAGCTGAGGGTTGGGGTCTCTGGTGGGTGGCCCCAGAACACCCCTCCTCGTACAGTTTGTACCACCCACATTCCCACCTGTTTGCCTTCGGTTTAGCAGCACCACGTGTGATCAGTTTTGTTGTCACTTGGCCGTCAGGCGGGGTGGGGACTGCACGGGTTTGCCGTAACTGAGTCCCACCATCTGGGCGGCTTGAACCACATATTCTCTCCCAGTTCTGGGGGCGGGGAGTCTGAGATTGGCGTGTGGGCAGGGCTGGTTCCTCCCGGGGCCTGTCTCCCAGGCGTGCCAGCGGCCGTCTTCTCCCCGTGTCCTCACGCGGTCAGCCCTCTGCGTGTCTGTGTCCTCATCCCTCCTCCTAAGGACACCGGTCAGGTTGGATCAGGACTCACCCAGCGACCTCATGTTAATGTAGTCACCCCCTTAAAGACCCGACCTTCTGAGAATCACGTTCTGAGGACTTCAGCATATGAACTCGGGGCGCGGGGGACGCAGAGGGAGCTTGACATCTGTGAGGAACAAGGAGGTTTCTGTGGCTGGATGGGGAGAGCGTGAGGGTGGCTCAATATGGGGCTGCCGAGGCCGGCGGGGCGGTGGTGGGCAAGGATCCTGGGTCCCTCCAGAGGACAGTGGGGGCCAGAATGGAAGGGCATGCAGCCAGGGGGTAGTGGGGTTCAGCTTATGTTCTAGAACGAGGGCAGGGGGAGAGAGAGACTCCCCAGTAGACTCCCCGCTGGGTGTGGAGCCCCACACGGGGCACAAGATCAGGACCTGAGCCGAGATCAAGAGTCGTTCTCTTAATCCACCGAGCCACCGAGGCACCCGAGTTTGTTTTTAAAACTGCCCCTGGGTGTTGTCAGAGACCCCCAGGGTCTCCCCCGCTGGGCACTGCTGACTTGGGGGGGCGCCGCAGAGGAGGCATCCTGGACGTTATGGGATATGAGCAACCTCCCTGGTCCCCAGCCCAGGTGCGACACCTAGAATGTCCCCCAGACATCTCCACTTGTCCCCTTGGTGGCAGAGTGGCCCATGGTGAGAAGCACCAGCTGGGCCTGATGCCCCCCCGCACCCCCCCCCAGCTCGCCCTTGAGTGGGAATGATCCACGCCCCCCCACCCCACCCCCCTGCCCCATGTGGCAGGCGGGAAACTACCCTGGAGGGCTGGCCATGTGGTGACCCGGCCCCCGCCCTGTGTTCTTCCCCTATGTCCCCCTCAGAGGACCAGCTGCCCCCCGGCTTCCCCAACATTGACATGGGCCCCCAGCTGAAAGTGGTGGAGCGGACGCGGACGGCTACCATGCTCTGCGCTGCCAGCGGCAACCCCGACCCCGAGATCACCTGGTTCAAGGACTTCTTGCCTGTGGACCCCAGTGCCAGCAACGGGCGCATAAAGCAGCTGCGGTCAGGTGAGCAGCAGTGGCCGGGAGGGTGCGGGAGCCACGGAGGGCGGCGTCTCCAGGGCCCAAGCCCTGCCGGCTAGTGGGAGGCCGAACGGCGGAGGGGACGTGCAGCCGTGGGCGGCATTGGCGTGGGGAGTGTCCTCAGAGCTGAGCCGGCAGGGGTACCGTGGGGCATCCCCAGGCAGGGGTAGCAGGGAGCTAGGCGGATGGTAGGGGGAGAGCTTGTCTGCACCCAGTGGGGGTTGTAACGGTGCACCCCGCTGTGCACAGTGATGGGGAGCTGGGGAGACCGGCAGGGGCAGAGTGTCCCCAGTCCCCAAGCCCTGCAGTCCTGTCAAGGCGCAGACAGTTGTAGGTGAGGGAAAGCCACAGAGGTGGCGGGTGTCCTCACGGCCCTCGCAGCGGGGACACAAGTGCGGCTCACGCAGAGGTGCGGGGGAACCAGGGAGAGAGTGGCGAGGGTGGCCGTCTGCAGGGCCTCCCCACTGGGGGTGTCACGGGGCACAGACAGGATACTGGGGCGGCTTGGAAGGTGGTGGAGGGAGAGAGAGGGTGTCCCCTGCTGAGGCCGTAGGCACGTCCAGCGAGGATATAACGGGGTCCAGAGCCGTCCGGCTGCTTGTCAAGGCCTTGGCTGCCTCGGGATGGGCGGTTCCACGGTCGTGTCTCGGCCTAGTGCCCACGTGCCCCATCTGTGAGTCTGTCCGTCTGGGGGGCTGTGTGTGTGTGTGTGTATGTGTGTGTGTGTGTATGTCATGTCGGTTGTCCCTCCCGCTGCTTCATGACAAGTCTGAGTGTGTGTGTCTGGCCTCCCTGTGCCGGCCTCACCTGCTCCCCGGGGGTGTGGGCCTGCCAGCCGCACACGGGGGGTTCGCCTCCTGCCTCCTCCCTCCTCCACGTGCGTCCCTCCCGGGCACCCCTCCACTTAGCCCTCTCTCCCCCTTCCTCTGAGGACCCCGCCTGGAGCCATCCCTGCCTGAAGGCTTCCCGGTTGTTCTTAACACCCCCATGCACGCTGCCCCGTCTCATCCTCCGGGGGCGGGGGGTCCGTCTGCCCGTCCTCTGCACCCCACTCCTCCCCAGCGACGACCCAAGCTGTGAGAAGGGGCAGATGCTGAGCCCAGAAATGTCTCCCCTGGGGAGAGACATGGCCTTTCCCCCTCCCGCCCCCCCATCCTGTCTCCAGGTACCTGCCACTCTGGGTGGGGGTCCCACTTGGGAGCGACGGCAGCCCCGGGATCCAGCTGCTTCCCTGCTGGCCTCTGCCATCGTGGCCCTGAGGGGGTGAGCCCATGATGAGCATGGAGCCTGGGCCCCGTCGCCTGGGCCAGTGTCACCTGCGTCCCCAGAGCAGGGTCTTTCATCTGGGTCTCCGGGTCACCAGGTGCCCCCCCCCCCCAGGGCACGGACCAGGTGCTTGCTGCTTCCTTGATCCTAATAAACCTGATGATTATTCTGGCCTCGCCTCCCCTCCCACCCCCGAGAGGATACGGGTTTCTGCCTCACGCCCATTAATGATCCTGTTCTCTTTTCTTGTCCCCCTGTTGTAAACGTTCAGAGACCTTTGGTAAGTCTCGTTTCTTCACCACGTCAACAACTAACGTCCCCTCTTGGTTCCCCTCCCCAGCCCACCCCCCAGCCCCCTCCCCCCAGACTAACAGCCACTGTGACAGTAACGGTGACCCACACTCCAAGTGGCATGTTTACTAACGACCCCTCCCCCACCAGCCGCCCAGCCCTCCCCCGTCAGGCACCAGGGGGCTGCAGAGAGAGGAGTCCAAAAGGAAAAGAGGAAAACACACAAGGCCGCAGAGGGGGCCAGTCGGACCCCAGGACGGGAAAAGGGGTGCTAAGGGGAAATTAGCACAATCCTAGAGCTCGTGGGGTTCCTGGCCTTGATGCTGCTGGAAAATGAGGGACTTACGGAAGTTTGGGAGCTGGGTCTCAGGGCTCCTCTTTAACAGCATCTGGCCTGAGTCCCCTGAAACCAGCTGCTGGGACTGATTCTTACTAAAGTGAAAATGACTGATATTGGCCCGTGGAAGTTCTTTCTCCTCTTTCTCAGAGTAAGCCGTAGAACCACCTTTCACACCTAAGAGGTTTATCCTCTCCTCTCGATATAGTGGCCACGGGCTGCTTGGCCATCTTGGGAGGTCCCGTTCTTTGGCCTCTGGAATCCCACTCACCTGGGTTCTGGTCCTCATTGCAACTTCCTATTCCTCCCCCCACCCCACGTAAAGAGGAGAAAGGGGCCTCATCGGGTTGAGGATTCTGTAAGAAATAAATAAGACGGGCCTGGGAGGCTGCAGAGCTGGGTTCTGAGCCCACCCACCCGCCTACTCCCACCCAACGCCTGGTATAGGACTTTGCTGGCCCTTCGGGGCTTCGGCTTGGCCACCAGTTTGCCCATGCCACGTGGAAGGAGCTATGTTCTCTCTCTCCCGGGGGCGCCTCTGCCCTGGCCTCGGGGTCCCCTTGTTCTTGGCGGGGCATCTGCAGTCCGTTGGCAGAGAGAGGAGACTGCACCTATCCCAGGAAGATGAGCGAGGGTGGGGTAAAGCGCCCGGGACCGCCTGTTTGTGTGTGTTCCGAGTTGCCCTGCCCCCCCCCCCCCAGGTCGTCCTTTCCTCTTTTCCTTTTGGACATTACGGGGGGGCGGCAGCGGGCCCTCTCCCCTGCCCTGGTCCCCTTTCACTGCTCCTCCCTGTCCCCCTTACTGGCCTGTCTGTGATGCCTCCCCTTTGCTTTATTAATGCCCAGCCCTGGGGCACTAACCCCCCTCCCACCCCTGTCTCTAACAAGACCCTGAGCCCCTCCTCACTCCCGTCCCTTCCAAGAAGGAAAGAAGGAAGGGAGGTCCGTGACCTCCCTCCTTCGGCCCACAGGGAAGGCAGCCGCCAGAGCCGGGCCGTAATCCTCCCCGGGGCCATAGTGACCCCACTGAGGCCAGTCTAGAGGGGCTTCTAGACGCAGTCCCTCCTTCTCCAGGAGACGGCCGCCTCCTGTGAGAAGCCTTCCTGACTGCCCAGCCCTCAGATCCTGCTCTGCACCTGCAGGGACCCCTAGGCTCAGGGCTGGCTCCGTCCCCCACCCCCCTGGGGGCAGAGTGGACGGGCCTGGCTTATGGCCAAGCCTGGCCTCCCTGGGGCCCCCCGGCCCCCCAGGACTGCCTTCTCAAATTCACCTGACTCTCTCTGCTTCCCTTACAGAAAGCACTCCGATCCGAGGTAAGAGGCTCTTTCCTCACCCACCCACTCTCTCTCTCTCTCTCTCTCTCTCTCTCTCTCTCCCACTCTCCCACTGCCCACTCAGCCCCCAGGCTCCATGGGGGGCTTATGCCCAGGCTTCTTCCACATATTTCCCCATTGCCACCCTGCCCAGTGTCTGTCCAGTCTCTGTCTGTGTCGCTGTGTGTGGCTGGGGGGGCCGAGTGTGGCCTCGATCGCCCCTCACTCAGGACCTGGCCGCAGGGCAGGGGCCGTCCCCACAGGAGGGGGCAGTGCCTCCCACGTCCCCCCACAGCTCTGGGAGCCAGGCTTCTGATCGTAGCTCTGTACATGGGCCTTGTCTTTCTCCGGCCTCAGTCTTTCCATCTCTAGAATGGGCACGCAGAGGGGGCCCTCTGGCTCTACCGCTCCTTTGGTTCTGGGGGGTCCAGCCCAAGGGAGCAGAGAGACCTGCAGTCTCAAAGGCCACCCCCACCCCCACCCCAGTGCTGACTGGAATAGACTAGAATAGGCCTGGGTGGGAGTCAGTGGCTAGTCCTGGTTTTGCCATGAAATGCTGTGCAACCTAGGGCAGGCCCCCTGCCCTCTCTGGGCCTCCGCAGTAGTGCCTGCCTGCCCGCTGTTCAGAGCCCTGGAGGTTGGGGGGAAAGTAAGAAGTGGGGTATGGGGGGCAGCCTGCCTCTGTAGCCCCCAAAGAATCTATTCGGGGGTCCTCCTTTGGGGTCCCTGTCATTTCCATGGGACAGCCACGAAGAGCTGGGTAGAGGCGTCTCCTTGGGAGCTTGGGCTGGATTTTTGTGGCCTCCTGGTGCCAGGAACTCTGATACCTGTGATTCAGACACACTTGGAGATAGTCACTCGTCTTCCCTTCACTCGTGGTCCCCACGCATGTGCGGCCAGGCCTGTGATTCAGACATTCGTACAAATTTAGTTATGAGAACGAAGACTTTTGATCCAGGCCTTCGATTTCAAACATACTCGTGGAAACATTTGCCTCATCTTTTATTTACTCGCGGGCGTTGGAGTGTCTTACCGAGGTCTGTGATCTCAAACTTCCTCAAAGATGTTCGCGCAGCTTCGCTCACTTGCGAAAATGAGGGCTCGTTCCAGACTCGTGGCTTCAGAGATCCTCGAGGGAGTGTTAGCCTCGTCCTCGTTTACTCGTGGGCACGGCGGTGTTTGATCAAGGCCTGTCCTTTCGTATGTTCTTGAGAAGGCTCATTCATTTTTACATGTTCGTGGCAAGTAACGTATTTGACCGGGGCCTGCGATTTCAAACACAGACGGGAAATCGACCCTCTTTTCGTAGAGTCGTGGGCATTAAAACCTTCGACTTGGGCCTGCGATTTTAAGTATCCTTGAGAAAAATTGGCCCCTTTAAGCTTTTAGTCACTCACGGCCAACGGATTCTTTTTTTTTTTTTTTTTTCTGGCTTGTGATTTTCAAACACGTTTGTGGCATTTCAACCTCAGTTTTATTTGCGGGGATCCGAGGTTTTCATTCGGACGTCTGATTTCAGACACTCGGAAAGTTTCCCTGTTAACCCACGAGTACGGTGGATCCGGGTCTAGGACTGTAATTGCAAACACACTTGAGGAAGTTCATTTGCTTCCTTGTCAGCACCAAGATCCTGAATCCAGGCCTGTGGTTTTAAGACTTGTGGGCGAATTCAGACCCGCTTAGATCACGATGTTCAGGGGAGTCCATGGAGAAAGCCAAGCTCCTCTTCAATTGGTTTCAGGTACAATACGGGGACTTTAATCCAGTTTTGGGTTTTTTTTTTTTTAAGATTTTACTTATTCATGAGCGACGCGGAGAGAGAGGCAGAGACACAGGCAGAGGGAGAAACAGGCTCCCTGCGGGGATCCTGATGCGGGATCCTGGTCCGCGATCATGCCCTGGGCCAAAGGCAGGCGCCCAACCGCTGAGCCACCCAGGCGTCCCAATCCAGGTTTTTTGATTTCAGACATACTTGATGTTTTTCGGTCTCAACGTCTTTTATCTTAGCTCACGTGAGAGGTTTCCCGGTCCTAAAATTTCAGTTAGACAACCTCATCTCTCCATTCATGGGCACTGCAGGCTTTGAGACCTGTCATTTCAAACACACTTCGAGGATCCCAGACCCCCGTTCATTTACACATGGGCAGTGGTTGGAACCAGCAAAGCAACCAGCAGCTTGGTGAACCTGTGCTATTTCCTGTGGTCGCCCCTTAGGCCCCAGGGTCTTTGAGATGACTGCTGTGGGTAGTGAATGCCAACTCCGCGTCCCCCCTTTCGCCCGGAGAGCCTCGCTCAGTGCTTTTGCAAACCCACCTCCGTGGCACATACCTCGTTGGTAAACTTGGCAGTCCTTTCTGACGCACCAGCCGTGCGTCCACCGGGTCTCACAGTGAGGATGGAGCATTTCGGGGGAGAACGCAGCGCATTTAGGCTGGTGTTGGGCTAGGCTTGGAGTGGGGGGGGACGAGCCAGGGAGGCCCCCAGCCCGGCTAGGGCTTGCAGCCTAACTCATCTCTTCCGTCTGCCTCTCGGGCCCAGAGAGAACGAGAGATGGACGCAACAGGGCTCTGGGACAGCCCGCCCAGCCCGTGCCCAGGCCCTCCCTGACTGGCCAGGCTTTCTCCCCTCTTCCCACAGGGGCCCTGCAGATTGAGAGCAGCGAGGAGACCGACCAAGGCAAATACGAGTGCGTGGCTACCAACAGTGCCGGTGTGCGCTATTCCTCACCTGCCAACCTCTACGTGCGAGGTAGGGAACGCCGAATCCAGGTCGAAGGCAGGGACCCGTCCTCTCCTGTTCCCCCTCCCTCCTTGGGCTCACAGCCTCCGGGCTCCCCTGTTCCCTGCAGACCCGAGCGGGAGGGCCCCCCCCACCCACCCCCTGGTCGCAGCAGGACCTTGGGTGAGGGCGGCATCCCTCTCCGGACCTCAGTTTACCTCTCTAAAACGGGGGCTGTTTACACCACCCCGCCCCCGTGCCTGTGACAGACACCCCACGGGCTGCAGGACTTGGTGGGGAGGCAGGAGGGAACGGGGCAGGGCCAGGGGGTCAGCCTTGGGCCCACAGGGCTGGGGGAGCCTGCAGGCCTCTGCCCCGCCCGCCCGCCCGCCCATCTGAGTCGGCTTCTGTGGTGTGTCGTGCCGTGCCTTCCCTTCGCTGTGTGCTTGCTTTGCTTCTCCAGACTCCGTGGCCTCTCGTAGCTCCCCGCTTCACCCCCCCCCAGCACCCTCAGTCTGAGAGCTGGGGAGGGGTCCCTGAGGCCGCCCCCCGCCGCCGGCCCCTCGCACCTTCGGCTGTCCCGGAGCCCGGTGCTCTATTTTTTCTCCTCGTTGCCCTCAGGAAAGGACTCGTTTCGGCCCAAGCGAGGCCGGGGCCACAGCAGGCGTCTACGCCTGGGGCTTGGCACCCCGTCAGGCTGCGGCAGGCACGGCACGCCGGCGAGGCTTGTCGCTCTCGTCAGGCCCGAAGCCCGGGTCCTCGCCCCAGCACCCCCCACCCCCCATCCCGTCCCCAAGGAGGCCCTGGGAAGCGTCTACATTGACTTCCTTCTGGGTCCCTTGGTGTCCCTCAGAGGCACCGGGGGGCTCCCTGGGTCCCCAGAGGCCTGCGTCGACCCCTCTCCCCGCTGTGTTGGTTCTCTTCGGTTCTTTCAGAAATTTTAATCCGCCTCCTCCTCCACCATTTGCTCTGCTCCCCTCCCCGCCTCCCAGTGGCTGTTTCTGATCAGATTCGTGGTAGAAACAGCTCCTGCTGCCAGGAAACAGGGCCCCCTTCGAGCCCCAGGGCTGCCCTGATTGGCTCCGTGTACTTGACCTCACCCACACCTCCCTGGGCCTCAGTTTCTCCCACTTGAGGCACCGGTTCCCTGCCATTCCCCAGCTGGGAGGCTGGGCATCTCCTCCCTACCCCCCACAGACCCTCCCTGCTTGGTCCCCACCAAGCACAGCCCCACTGGGGCTGTCTCTGAGGAGGAGGCCGCGTGGCGGGAGGGAACGGGGCCACGGGCGCGTGGGTGGTCAGGGGGCACACACCGATCTGCTGCCACGGCACCTCTGGTGAGTTATAGCGCGTCCGTGACTCCAGCTGACTGGTCTTCGTCTAACCTGCTTATTTCTCTGCAAACACCTGGGATGGGGGTTTGTAAGTCTGGCAGGGTTCGAGGAGAGCGTGGACGGACAGCAGGCATGGGATGACGGGGTGGGGGGGAGGCCTCTAGCAAGGGTGCGACGAGGGAGGGGGACCCCTGTGTCCTCAGCCCCCTGGAGGTGGGGTCCCCAGCATGAGCCTCTGATCTTTTGGGGGGTCCAGCCTCCCAATCTTTGCCTGGGTCTCAGACGCTCCAGAAATGAATTAAAAAAAAAAATCGTGGAAGACAAATGTAATATGTCAAGGAAAAAAAAAAAAGGTCATTGCTGTTCTTTTTTATTTTTTAATTTTAATTTTTTTTTTTGGTTTAAAGAGAAAAAAACAAACTATTGCAGCTTTTAGCCTTGGGAAGTCCTCTTTTTACTCTCTGTATCTCCCCTATTTTTTCTCTTTTCCCCATGTCATTGTGTTCTGCATCAAACCCCCTTTACATCCCTCAGAGCTTCGAGAAGGTTGGTGTGTTTTTTTCTTTTTTACTTTCTTTACCCACATTTTTACATTCTGAAAGTGACACACACACACACGAAACGCACACAGACACGCACACGCGCACACACACAGACACGCACACGGAAAATGATAGCAAAAGAGCTAAAAAATAAATGAATGACGGAATATGAATAGTAAGCACAAAGCGAACAAAACAAAACAAAAAACCGCCAAGCGAGAGCAAAAACCCAGAAAGACACGAAAATTTCAGCCGCGCCCAGCCCGGCCTAGGGCCGGCCGCACACATGCGATGCTTGCATTGTGGTCGCCTCTATGCATCCGTTGGTAATGTTGTTGCTAAGTTTTTTGCACTCCTCGTCGTCATGGTAACTTGGGCCTGATGCATGCCGGGAGAATGTAAAAATTTCTCTGCATGCCACTCTTGTCGGTTTGGTTTGGTGAATTCCCAGCGCCTTCTGTTGGAGTGTTTCTCGTCTCCTGTTCTGTTTTTCTCCTTTGGTTTTCTTCGTATTTCTTTCTTTTATTTAGTTATTATTACTATTATTTTGGTTTTGTTTTGTTTTGGGGGGGAAAAAACCGATCAGTTCGTTTTTTTTTCCCCCTCCCATCCCCGTTCACCCGGTCCCCTTCTACCCCCAAAGCGTTTCGTCTTTGGTTCTGTCTTGTGTTTCTGTGCTATTTGGTTTCGGTTTCTTGGGCTGAGCTGTTCTGTGGTTGTTCTCCAAACGCATTGTGACTTAAAAGCCAGTGTTCCTGTCCCAGCTACCATCCGGGAGGGCGGTAGGGGTCCCACAGCTGGGATGCCGGGGCAGAAAGTGACCGCCCGGGCTCGAGGGCACAAGGGAGGTGACCTAGATGGACGGTGGGGTGCGTGGGGAGAGCAGCCCAGTTGGCCTGGCCTCGCCTTGGCCAGCCCCCTCTTTACCCAGAGCTGGCGCCCCAGCCCCGCAGCGCAGCCGTGTTGGAAGGGGGCTTAAGCAGGCCTGTCCCCATCTTTCTGCCTCAGCACGAGACCACCTCCCACTCTTCCCAGACAACCCAGAAAACAGGCATTTGAAGCACAGCTAAACGGGCAACCAGCCTTTTGAGTTCTTGATCAACGTAGCCGCAGTCCAAATATGGAAAGTGGTTGCCTTCAAATTGGACTGTCCTCCCCAGATGACGCATGCTCGGCACATAGGCCGTGCTCAGGATGGAGGCTGGCGTGATGACCGTGGCATCCTGGCTGGGCACAAATACGGAACCGTCTGTCAGAAAATGTAGCATGAAAAAAATAAAAAAGAAAAAGAAAATGTAGCATGACCTGCTTAGGAAGAGATACGCAGGCAGTTATCCTGCCCCTTAGTGCTATGCCTGCGCCTCCCAGGCGGTGTTGGCCGCTTCCTCCACCCCTTCACGGGCTCTGGGCCCAGTCACAGGCATCTTGTCCAACAACCCAGCACGGTCACTTTCTGAGTACCTGAGCATCAGAACTGTGGAATTCTGGAGAAAACCCAGGGGAACTCTGGACGTAGCCTCTCCCCCCTCTCTCTCTGCCTCCCCGACTCTCCCACTGCCTGCCTCTCCCTCTCCGTCTCTCTCTTTCTCTTTCTCTCTCTGTCTCTCTGTCTCTCTCTCTCTGTCTTCCCCACCCCACCCCCACCCCCGCCTTCAAGTGTCTCTCTCACTCCTGCAAACCTTCGGAGATTCTGAGGTGCACACTCCCATCTTCTCCTTCCCTGAAGAAAAAAAGCAAGCCCTTGAGGATACTGCTCCAGCCCCAAATAAAAAAATTCATTTCGATTTCTAGCTGCCCCCATTCCCCAACCCCGACCCAGGCCCCCAGCTGATGGACGACCCACCGTTTGTGGTAGTTGAGAGAAGAGGCCAGTCTGTCGGGGCTGCTGTTTTTCCCCCCTTGTCCCTCCCCTTCCATCCCTAATCACCCACATACTGTGAGGTCCAGGGCCAAGTTGGCGAGAGGACTTTAGATGCGATGAGAGATTGATTTCTCCGGTCTCCGTATTAACCCAGCGTGAGAGCTGTCAGGCTGACCCTCAGAGGAGCTCCAGAAAATAGGAGAGAGGGTCTCCCAGCCCGTCCACCAAAGCTGGGTCCCAGTTGAATTGGAGCTAAGAGGTGGCTGAGGGTCTTGGGCTCCGGCCAACCTGGATTCAAACCCTGCTGCTGCCCCTTCCCCGGCTGTGTGACCTTGGGCCAGTCGCCTGATCCCTTGGGGTCCCACATCCTCCTCTGAACAAGAAGGAACATCCTGCACTAGCTCATGGGGCAGTTGGGGGGATCCCATTGAGCTAATTAATGTCCAAGTGCCTTGGGTAGTTTGTGGCACACAAATCTACCAGTGGGGTTTTGTAGAACGGGGACATAAAGAATTCAAGTGGTCACTTCCCTTCTTTGGGGACCTCATTTGGCCCATTATGTACCTTCACAGCTCTGCTGTTTGAGTAAGATGGGGATGGTAATGGTAAACCGCTTTGAAAAGAATGGTAGGGCAGAAGCTAATTCCTTTGCTCAGATCTCATTCTTTTTCCGCTGGTGCTCTTCTGAACCCATCCCATGATTTCATTTTCTCCTGGTTCCAACCCAATTCCTGTGAGATCAGTGGCTTCCCTAGAGCCACAGCTTTCATCTTGCCCCCTGTCACTCCACCCAGGGAGTTGGGTAGCCACAGAGTCAGAACAGGGAAGGAAAAAAAAAAAAGGCCCAGCTTGGGTGCTAAGCTACCCTTGCAGAGAATCACCAGCCCTGGAGAAGAGGTGGGCCACAGGGGCAGCCTAACCTGAAAGCTGGCAGCGAGGATCCCCAGCCCCCCCACCTCCCAGCCGAATCCCTTTAATTCACCGGCACCAGGTCCTGCTGACCCTGGGTGAGTCCGGGGGTGGGGGCGGGCTACTCAGACGTGCCCTCCCCTCCTCCTTGAAATGTGTCTCTGAGATGCCAAGGGCCTGAACTCAAAGCCGAGCCCAGTGTTTAACACAGCCGGCAGTTGCGCTTCCAGAACTTTCCCCCCGGGGAAGACCCAGCTCAGATTTTTGCCGAGGTGGGAAGGTGACGATCAGGTTACACTCTACCCGGCTGTTGATCTTCTAGTCCGTCTCCTCAACACTGTAAGGCTCTAACGGTCCTGCTTAGTGGCCACACTTGACATCTTT